GAGGTTGTAAATAAAACACATACTACACTTTGCGACAGCAAAATGTGTTTAGACGAAATGATAGTCAGAAATTGATAATTAATATAGAAGGTTGTAGAACTTCTGGTAAAAAGAATAGTAGTCAATCTTCCCGTTGCATTCATAATAATGGTGGCGGAATTAAACAAAATAATTCTAATAGAATAACCAGTATTATGAATTTCCGCAAGATAACACTTAGTTCAGTAAAATATTTATATTAAATTTGATTGAACGGTTTCAGAGATTTTTTTTATACAACTTAGAATGACAAACAAGCTGACGGTCCACCTGATGGAAATGGGTAACTGTCACCTATAGACATGAGCAGTACCATGGACATATCAGAGTATACTGTTTTGCCCATGATACCCCCCATGCGTTGCCATTCCTGAGGACTCAGGTGTTATTCCTCTGTACCCTGTAAATTCACGCCATATCCTACCCTTCAAACTGAAATACAGCCATGCAAACACAACTGCTATACGGTTGAAACACGAATGGAACAGAGGTACCCAAGCAAACGATATTAAGATTAGTTAACATAAAAATACCTGCAATTGAATACTTAAAGAAAATCCTAATAATTAATTACTTTACTTAAAAAATACGACTTGGAAAGCTAGATAATTATTCATAAGTCATTTGTATAATGAGAATTTAATGATCGAAGATAATTATTAAACATACTTCTTAATTTATTTAATGTAACAAAAAATTGCCTAATTAGTAAAAACTTTATTACTTTCTAATAGGATTTTATTTTTATTTTTATGGATGATTTAAAAATCTAAAACAAGACAAAAATAGAGAACTAAGTGTTATGGCTAGATATCCAATAGATGCTTAGATACCTTTTGAAACCAAACATCTATTCTCTATTGAATAACATAAACAGAGATAGGTATATAATAGTCAAAGGAACTCATTGTAAACATCTCACATAAGCGGCAAGGTGGTGTTTCCGCATTTTCTATGCCCCATATTTATGAGAGGACGATTGAGTTTACTGATGAATAGTCCTTACAGACAGTTCGTTTGATCATCAGATAAATATCGTGGGCTGGTATTCCGGAATCCGGGAAGACCTGTTAATGGCTTCAAGATAACCGTTCTTTGTGTTTAAAACCCTATGAATATGTTTTATAGCCTCGTACATCTTTCCTGTTTAATAATTCTTTGCTTTATTCAAATATTGTTCGTTATAGCGTTTTATGTCTTGTAATTTTGAATTAGCCAACTTATTTACATATGAAGATATGCCGAATGTAGGTATATAGATTATTATTTTAGATAACACTAGTAGCTATAACGATTGAATTTTATTCCTAATTTGTATAATGATTGGTATTTTTTGTAATATTAGCGTTCATAATAGAAACTTAATGTTAGATTAGCATATTATTATGTTATTTTAATAATCAATGGTCTTAAATATGGGGAATTATTGTACTTAACTGGCGACATTAGCGACCATTTTAAAATTATATATATTGCTAGTTATATCTTGCGTTTTTGTTCGCAATAGTTAGTATGAAGTTTTCTGAGTTAATCTAGGACATTGTTCAAAATTCTATTTTAGCCGTTTTACGTTCATATATCTTTATAACCTTTTATATTTATAATGTTTAGTGCGATGTATACCAATGCCATCTAAATCGTTTTCATAGTGTAGGTGTTTAAAAGTTTTAAACAGATATACAAACTCACATTCGTTATTTAGTAAGAATATTCACAAGTACGCGAAGAATCTCCGCCTCGCTTGTACGGACAACAAAATCGTCAAGTATACAGCGACCGTTTAAATATTGGAATGAATGACATACCACGCCTCGTACGATTAATGGTGTAGTGCACACAAAAAGCAAACATGCTCATTAATATATCAACTGTCTTTTTAGCAGCGCACTGCAACATTAGGTACCGTCGGCAGAAATGTCAAACACACGATTTCATTTACATCTAAAAAAAACATGTACCACTTTTCATAATTCATTCGTGCGCGCATTTCTTTTTTGAACGATGATCTTCAACAATGGAAAATGTACTCGGACGAGTTTAAAACGACTCGTATTTCTTTCGTCGCTCACAAAGTCACAACACGACCATAATTCAGCGGTCTAACATCTGCAGTCGATATCTCTTTAGACAATTAACAAGAAAACAAGAACAGTCAGCCCCATATAAGTATTTTTAAAGAAGGTAATTTAACTTCTAAACGATGTTAAGGAGAGGTCACTACTGTGCAATTATGCGACTTATATTATAAGTTGCTCAAGTATAGATAAATTTTGATCGCTATAATTTACTCCTATAATAATAAATGAAGTCGAATACATATAATAGTCGTAAATTTTTATAACTTGGAATTCTATTTTTGTAGCGTTATAGAATAGACGCAAGTGTGTATCTGCTCTTAATTTTATTTCCGTCTCCCGTTTCGTCGGTAGTCGCTTTGACGTCCGCTAAACACGACATTAATACACTTGAGCTTTTTTTCATCTGTCACATAATTTACTTTTTTTAAATCTTTTTGTGGCCCATTAGCTATTAAGCGAACGCCGTTCGTTTTGACATTGGATTAATATGTTGGCATTTTAAGCGCCAGTTATACGAATTAATATTTTCAAAGAAAATAATTTTTGACAAAGTTTATAGCATGTATAATAATGATACAGTAATAAAGCTATTAATAAATTGATGACAGATGTCATATAAAATTATGGTAACTTATCTTACAATATTAGTAAACGGCATCATCTATATTGTTAATAATTATTTAATAATTTACGAAGTAGCAATGAAAAGAACAATGAAAGTACTTACTTGAAAAGACTTTTGATTTAGGCGTGAATAGAATAGAATAGAAATGAATATTATGTCGTGTGGTCCCGGCATAGAAAGAGCCATCTTTTTCTTTCCCGTGGGTGTCGTAAGAGACGATTAAGGGAACTTAATGGTCAGCGTATGGGTCTTCCTTAAAAAGACTAACCAAAGACTAATTACGGTTGCCAATCCGGTTGTCAAGCGTGGTAACTACTGGCAAAACTTCCCTTACGGGGAAGATTTATATTCAGCAGTGGACATTTAACGGCTGATATAATAATAATAATACTAAATATTATAGGAATTGTATAAGTAGGTATGAATTCTTTGAAGTAGTCACTTTGCCCACAAATCACAAAATTTATCTTACTTATATACCTTAAATTTTAAAATTTATCTCATGCATGCAGACGTGAAATAAATATTATAAGATTTAAAATTGAAGAATTAATATAAAAAATTACCTTAGGAAACAGGTCATTACTAAAATCCTCGGTTTTTCTGTTTTTTTTTCTTTTAGAGATTTTACTTGTAATTTACTTTTTAAATATACTTAAATATTAAATATTAATTTTTTATAAATTATAATAGTATATATAATAAGAATATATAATACAAATAACAGTATTAATTCTAATATGAATATTTTAAGATGAAATTTATATTCCGTTAATATGAATTGTATATTAAATTATTTGACAGGAAACAAACAAGAACTACATAACTGAATTGTAACATGACATAAAGATAATATGAAATGCTAATTATAATTGAATTGGTTTTGATTAATGTTAAGGAAATGCATTTTATCACCGCATGTAATTACAAAACTTTCATAAACACGTGTTCGTCAACCATTGATCTATCATCGTTTCAAATCATTAATTAGTATTTAAACAGCAATTAGCTGATAGTTAAATAAGTAGGTTACAGTCTATAAAAGCGGCCTATTCAATTTACTTACCAATAAATTAAAATCACAGTGATTCATTAAGTGCGTTTGTTATGTTGATCAACATAACGTTTTAGTGTCGGCAACAGATTTATTTGCCATAAATCAATCGTCGGCTGGTCAGATAAATGTAATAAGAAAAAAAAAAGACAATCTGAGCCAATTATACCAAAGATTACAAGGAGAGTTTATAGTAAACGCGAGATTAAATAATAAGGAGGTTTATAAATATGAAGAAAAGACAAGAGAGATGTAAGTAGTTGACAGGTGTATCTACATACAAAAGAAAAAACAGTTTCTAATAAGCATAAGAATGACTGGTGACAAGCATTATGATAAGTATTTTAACAAGGCCGTTAAAGTTGACGGTAACATACCAACCTGCTGATGAAACTTATCTCAACTAAAGCATCTCACATTTGTTTACACGTGGGCGTATATCAGATTTTTCTAACTAAATTCGGCATTAAAATCGTCAATTTGCGTATTAATACCCTTGTATTCATCGCCGAATAAGTTGAAAATTACCTCTTTATAGATATTATCGCGATTGGATCGCGGTCTGTTTCCTTCGCCTTTTATTTTATTATGTTTTATTATGCGATTTATTAATCCAACATCGGAATGAAACGGCATTCCGATCGTTCGGCACGCTTTTGTTATTAAGATATAACAGTAAAGCGCAGTTAATGCTCAAGACTTACAATTTAACCAGCTTAAAACATTACCTTGAATGTTAATACTTTATCATAGTATTCGTTCAAAACAATTTAAATCCTTTAAATTTATTGTGTAGGTTTCAATATAAAAAAAAAATTAATTAACTATGAAATATTCTCTGTATTAGAAAATAGGTACGCTTGTATAGGTGTTTGTATAAATATACGGCTAAAGGTATTTTTTGGTATAAATTTAAATTAATTAAAAAAATAAACTTGATAAATTAATTTTGCACATTTTAATAAAATTATTGTACATGATCATAATTTTTATTGTTATCTTTTATTAACTTTATTTTTTTTTAAATGTAGGTATTTTATATTTCATGATAATTAGCTATGTCATTAAGGCGCTAAAAGATTATAATGTAATTACAGGCAATCGTGTATAAGTCAAATGCGTATATGGCCATAGTTTTAGCTTTTCAATAACCATGTATTTTATTTTTACCAGTAATAATTATAATTTATATTTTTTTCCACAGATGCAAATGGTGAGCCTCCCAAACTGAAATGCAACCTTCGAAAACACAAACCGAATAGAAAACCTCGAACGCCGTTCACAGCGCAACAGCTTCGAGCGCTGGAGAGCAAGTTTGTCGACAAACAATACTTGAGCATTGCTGAACGAGCTGAATTCTCATCATCTTTAGGCCTATCTGAGACTCAGGTGAGACTTGACATTGTTTTTAATTGATTTGAAACGATTCAATCACGACAAATTACTTTGAACATTATAATCAAATATATTGAGTCACCCCTGTGATCACAGTAATGTTAAAATATATTATAAAATTCCACAGATTTAAATCAAATGACGGTACTTTTAATTTGTATTTTTTTTTTGTAGTTATTAAATAAAATCCTTATGCAATTTGTACTACATGTTGTTAGGTATACGTGAATTTGCTTGCATATTAATTATCAAGTTCTAATAACTATATCTGTCGAAACATCACACATATGCAATACTTGTAACTTAATATACATTATAGGTACATAATAAATATAATAATAGGTAACATAAAGACACTGTTATCTATTATTATTTATAAATAAATAAAAAATATATTTGTCTATGTATGTTTATACACATATTTATTCTATGTGTTTATATAATAAATAAATATGTATATATATATATATATATATATATATATATATATATATATATATATATATATATATATATATATATATATATATATATATATATATATATATATATATAAAGAGGTTTTGTCAGGGTCGGCAATGCACGCGTAATACCTCTGGTATTGCAGGTGTTCATAGGCTACTCACTTACAATTGGGTTTGCTGGAAGGAAACTCTTTTAGAGTTAAGCTCGCTTTTGTATATTTACTTACCTCCGTCATATTTTAAGTGGTATTATTAGTGTGTGCAATAAAGTATAAAATAAATAGAAATTAAAGCTTTCCATTAAAATAAGTCTGTAGAATAACGTGTTACATCGTTACAATTGTACGTTAATTTTTTTTTTTAACAAAAACGACTGTTTCATTTATTTTTTATTTTCCAATAGGTAAAAATATGGTTTCAAAATCGACGCGCGAAAGCGAAACGCGTGCAAGAGGCGGAGATTGAGAAACTCAAAATGGCGCAATTTTCCCGACACCCCCACCATCTGTACCCCCACCCCGCGCTACAGCAGTACTTCCACCCTCACCCCTTAATGGGTGGAGGGCGGCCGTTGCCTCCCATGGGCTTGCCGCCGCCGCATCTGGCCATGGTACAACCACCTGTGTCTGGCTCCCCCTCGCCAAGCACTCAAACGAGTCAACAGTGAACGATTTAATTTATAACATTAATTGTGAGTTCCAAATAAATATTATTTTTAAATTTTTATGCTGACTGTAATGAAAGATTTGATTAGTGATGTGACGATTAATGGGAAGTTTAAAAATAATAATGTAAATTATTTGTAAATATAAAATAAGATTATTGTAAGTGATTTTATGCACTGGTATTTGTATTAATTTAAAAGAAATATTATTTAGATTTTTAATTAGACATTATAAACATTAACCAAATTACCTATTTATAATTGCGTGACGATATCATTCAGTACAATATCCGATTGAATTATACATTATAAAATAGATTTGTACATACTGAGAATTATTTGTACATTGTTATTACTACATAGGTGAAGTTAAATATATTTCTTTCATACTGAAATATTGGTTTTATTACATTAACATATTTGAAACAATTTTTATTAATGTTTTGGCATTAGCTATAAATCGCGACTCAGTATGAGATTAGGTATAAAGTACTTATATGGTCCATCTGATACATACATGGCCCATACCTTTCATTGGAAATGTTTCAGCCATTCATCGAGATTGAGTAACAACAAATATGGGAACATCTTTACAAATTTATAATTAATACTATCTATATTTCTTAGCTTTTACCCGTGACTCCGTCTGCGTGAACCGGGAAATAGTAATTGATCAGAACAAATAGCCTATGTCCTTTTCCGCCATAAATATATGTTATTCGTATATCAAACTCCATGATGATCGGTTGTGCCGTTAAGGCACCAAGAGGTAACAAACAAACAAATACTGTCACATATATAAGACTAGCATGTGTCATGCGACTTCATCCGCGTGAGTTAGTATAAAAAAGTAAATAAAGTATTGTGTGTAAAGGTAACATATAACCTACCCGTGTACTAAATTTCATTCAATTCAGCCAATATTTTTTACGTGAAAGAATAAAAAACATCCTTCAACTTTTACAAACTTGGCATTTATTGCAGTAATAGTACAGTAATTATCACTTATAATAGTACAGTAATATACTTAATAGTAGTCACGTAAATTATGACAAATAGAAAGGAAGAAAGAAAAATAGAAAGAAACATTAAATTAAGGACATAGACATTACAGCAACTAACAATAAAAACAATTTATAGCCACTAAAAAGGCCGTAAAAATAGGGTTTTATATATTATATTGTATATGCCGTGTGGTCCCGGCATAGAATAGGCCACCCCTTCCTTTCCCGTGGGTGTCGTAAGAGGCGACTAAGGCAGGATGATGGAGAATAATGGGCAGCAGCGTTCCTTTTAAAACATCTTCAAGGCATAATTGTGGTTGCCAATCCACCTGGCCAAGCATGGGAAGTATTGTCAAATCCCTCCAAAGTGAAGGTTTATCACCAATAGACAATTAAATGTGTGAGATAGATACTAGAGGAAGACTTTATAAAAGGCGTCTGTTCTATTTGTGTTTCTGCCGTGAAGCTGTTGTGTTTGCATGGATATGTTTCCGTTTGTATGGCAAGATATAGCAATGAAATTACAGGATACAGAGGCATACTACCTTAATCTCCAGTAATGGGAACGCATGAAGAGTATGATGGGTAACATTGTATACTCTGTTATGCCCATGGTACTGTTAATATCTATAGGAGATGGTTACTACTTTTCATCAGATGGCCCGTCAACATGTTTGCCATTCTAAGCTAAGTAAGTACTAAAAAAGATAATCAAAGCGTCTGTGGCTTTGCCCGAAATGTCAAAGTTTTCTTGAATATTTGCTCTAGAATCTAGTGCAAAGTATTTTAGGATAAGACTTTTTTATGTACTCTTTCCATAACTCGCTGAAAGTCGTGGAGCTTCCTACTTATGGTCACGTCTCGATTCCATAGGTCAACATTTATTTTTCATACTTAACTTTTCTAACCAAATAATATATAGATAACATAGTCGATAAAGTGTAGAGCACTAATTTAAATATACCCATTAAAGTTAATTGTCTGATAAGGGGGGAGGTCGGGTCACGACGATAGGTACTTTGATAGTGGCATACGATACAGGTTGAAGTTTTTTTACATTTAGATATAATAGATTCCTCATTATAATGTAATCAATATAAAAGTGAGTTTGGTTGTTATCACTTCGTGCTTCAACTGTTTAACCAATCTTCACAAAATTTGATATACTCAGTTGGAATGGAGATTGACAAAGTATTTTTTATTCTAGACAATCAACATATTCTGGTCACTAAGACGAAATCGCGGATAAAAATTAATACATTATTATTGCATAAATGAATAATTACTGATTAAATGACTCTATTGCTAGCTATTTAGAGAAGCTTCAAGTTTTTAATAACCTATGGAGAGGGCCATACATGGAGTTTCATTTTCTTGACAAAATCTTAAAGAAAGTGAACTGTAGAAGAAACAACATATACAATATATGTTATAATTACACCTAATAAGGGTGTGTTTCTTAAAGTTTCAGTTTACATGTGAAACGAGGAAATTAGATAGAGACCTAAAATGAATGATATTCCTTCAGAGTCTGTTAGCCAAATTAGCTTCGCCAGTTATATTTGTAGCGGTAGCAATGGATCCTGGAATGGAGCGGAGCGCCTTCCATTCTTTTAATGGATGATAATGGAATGGCAGCGCAAACGGTTGCGCTACCATAGGTGATAAACAGCTACTACTTTTCACCAGGTAGAGAAAAGAAAAGGTAAGGAATCCCCGAATTTAAATTGCGAATAAAACCGACATTAATAATTACAGTCAAGAATTGGTAAATTATGATTTATCTATATAAAGGAATATGCATTATGGTCCTGGCATACCATAGAATGGTCCATCCCTTCCTTTCCCAGGGGTGTCGTATAAAGCGACAACTGAAAGGTTGAGCGATAGGCAGCAGTGTCTCTCTTAAAACATTATCAAAAGCCTAACTGCGGTAGCAGTGGACAGTTAACGGTTGGTATAATAATAAAAAACACGCTGTATTATGCTACTTTTAATTTCGCTAAATATACCTACGTGACTTTGGTATCAAAAAACAATTTTTTATCAAAGCATATACCGATTTACCTACATCGAAGTTTTGTTTGTCCTACATTTAGGATGAATTATGTATTAAATTATCATGTTATATGATTTATTAGGCGTAAATGACAATACGCAAGTTCAATGTTTCGCAACAAAATAAATTTTAAATGATTGCATCATTATTTAGGATAAGGTTAATTTGATAAATTTCCATTATTATATAATCTACTTTATATAATAAGGTACCTGGGTCAAACACCAAGGTCAATTAGGACAAAAGCTCTCAAGTCATAAGGTCATGTTTATAACGTAAAATTTTCGTTAAAATTTGTTTTTGTCAATTCTTACAACCTAAATTTGAGATAAATGTTTTCGGCAATTTAACAATAATTGCATAAAATACTTTTATACTGTTTTGAATATAAAACATTACACAAATATTTTTCTTCATAAAATATAGTCTAGGTACATAGCTGTCACAACTTACCTCGGTACTTGTCATAACTTACTTCGGTATTAGGAGAGTTGTGACAATGGGAGCAGTTTCAGTTTTTGTGGATTTCCTCAGTTATCATATATTATAACTTACATCGACTTTGATTGCTAGTTTCAAAAGAGTAATGATTAAGCTACAATATGACACAGAGTTGTGACCCCTACTTGTTTTATTAAATAATACTTCGAACAGGTACTGAACTCTATATGTTCTCTGACGGAATTCACAATGGTTGCAATGTTTATTATTTTATTATTGTAAAATCTAACCAATGCTGTTTATTGTACTGTATCGAATTGGGATGTATCCTGTAAAGGCATGGAAACAAGGAAATAAAATAAACAAATAAATATTATAGTATGTTCAATCAGACCAGTGATCTTCGCCACCAGTGTACTAACTCTAATTCTCTTTACGTCCCATTTAGCCGAGCAGCGTTCGTCACACATCATTTCAATCCAATTAATCTCACGAACAGAACACCGTATGTACGCAATTACTCCGTAATTAAAAATAACTTATTCATTTAGTATTAAACGCGCGGCTCCCTTGTCTTAATTGCTTAAATGAATCACTTTAATGTTGCGTGATTGTTAATTTTCAGGCCACAGGGGCTGGCTTTGTGATATAAACGAGTCGAGACGGCTTGAATTTGGCTCAGAGTATGAGCACGAATAAAAAATAGACATGAAACGTCCATGTTCGTTTATTTTGCAGAATTATGATGCGATTGGCGATTCGAATTTTGAAAACTACATTTTTATATAATACTTTACGGATTTTTGTACGCTATTCTGAACGTGTAGATCTTTGAAGTAAGAAAATAATAAATAAATATAATAAATAAGAAATAAATCATTTATAGGAGGCCTATCAAGAAAATATATACACCAGATTTTAAGTTAGATACAATTATTAGATACAATAGAATACAATTATGAAAATCGCATCTAATTTGGTGCAGTAGTTTTTACGTGATGCTGGAACAAACATATAAACAGGCAGGCAGACAGATACAATTTCAGAAATAATTGTTTTGGCGTTTATTGATCCCATTTAAACCCATTATATCATTTTTTCTTAAATATCTCTATGGTAACAGACATCCTCTAGTTATAATTTTATTATATTATTACAACAGGTTGAAATAGCACTGTGATAATTCAGTCAGATAACTATAGATGTGGTCTGGGTGTGAAAAATCGAATCCCAGCCTAAATTTTCGAAATACAAAATTCTTGTTTTGATATTTTAAAATGCTTCGTGTTTTGGAGGGTACGTTTACGTACGATAGCTTTAGCTATCGTCCGGTAAGATATGTTAGAGGCTTTCTTTATATATGAACTATTAGCGTATATAAGATTACTAGCTGACCCCGTAAACGGTGTTTTACCACTTATTGCGAAATATAAAAGTCGCGATTAAAATACAGGGGTTGATCGTAAAACGATGAAAATTTAAAGTAGTATGTATTTTTCAATGCTAAATTATAATAAAATAAAAATACAAAAATTTGTCAAAAAAAAGAAAAAAAAATATTTTGGGGTGGGTCACCCTTATCACTTACGGATATGAAAAATGGATGTTAGCCGATTCTCAGACCTACCCAATATGCACACAAAATTTCATAAAAATCGGTAAAGCTGTTTCGGAGGAGTTTGGTAACAAACACCGTGACACGAGAATTTTATATATAAGATTTTCCAGAAGGAGGGAGGCTCGGACCACTTATTGTGTTTGGTCACTAAACAAAATAGATAAGAAATATTAGATGGCGGTGGAATCAAGACTTATGTTTTTTTGGTAATTTTGTAATTCAAAATAATTTGAAGTAAAATTTCAGAATTGGCGAAAAATTTTTATTATTATA